CTTTTGCTTCTCAGAGTTTGTGCTCAGCTCCCCCTGCAGTTTGTGACACTGTGTCACTCAGAGCACAGTAGTACACAGCCGAGTCTGACTCTTGGACCGAGGCTTTCTGCAAGTGGAAGGAGGTGGATCCTTTATCGTGTGTAGCTTCAAAACCTCTGCTGCTTCCCTTGTTGTTGGCTGCTTCGACTTTCAAAAGCAGCTCTGGACCTTCTCCAGGGTATTGGACATACCAGAAAAGAGTTGGGTAAGATGTGGTTGAATAAGTGCAGTTTATAAATAGGAAGTCATCTTCTGAGAGAGTCACTTGACCTTGTTTCTGGGTTACTGAGTCTCCACAGGTCCTCCCTGGAGAAAGAAGAGGATACCTGTGTCACACTAAGGACAAAGTTCTTAGATGATTAAATATTTTTCTGACATCATAAAAGAAAAAGCGTAAATTCTAAGTCACTTCACTTACCAAGCAAGAACAGCAGCATCATAGTCACTAAAGCTGAGAAAGTGTTCATCTTAAGTGTCACCCAAGTAATGTTCTTGACTCTTCACATGAAGAAATGATGAAATGACATCAAATAATGAATCTGAGAAGCATATAATTTACAAAGATAATGATGTTGTGTTAGGAAACTCCTCCCCCTGGTGGACAGAAACTAAACTAGGGACCCTTGCATACCTCCCAGAAGTCAGAAATGTGCTCTCATCCTCAACATCATTTGCAAGACACATGTCAGAAGTCAAGTGGCCCTTATCAATGTAAACAACATAAACAATGGCCATAAACATATTCAGTGTTGTCCTTCTTGGGATTCTACCTGACATGAAAGTGTTGTAGTGGAGCAACTGATGGTTTTTCTGTTGTGGTCTTTAGCATATAAACTGAAAATAAAGAAGTAGATTTTCCTAGTTTATTTCCACTGATTTGAATTTGTATTAAGATACTATGTGGACCTGGAGTGATGGCTCAGCACTTGAAAGAATTTGTTGCTCTTGCAGAAGATGCAGGTTTAATACTTAGAATACACATAGTGGTTTATAACCATCTGTTACTCCAGTTCCAAGGGAAGTGACTCTCTCTTCTGACCCCTGTGGGTACCAGGCAAACACATGGGTACCTAGACAGAAATGCAGGCAAAACACTCATGTATATAAAGTAAAATAAATATGTCTTTAGAAATTTACAAGTTATTATGAAATGCAATAATTATTAACTGGCCCTAAGAATGTGTAACGACTAAAAACTGCTCTTTTACCTTCTGGAAATTTGAAATAATGGATTCATGCTGCTCATTTACTTGGAAGGTCATTGGTGTCTTGAAACAATGTTTGAAGATTAACTGTACAGGACAACCACAACAAGGAAGCAGTTGTGACTGTCATGTAGGACTCATATTGTTTCAAACTCTACATCAAACATAGGCTATGACCATTTTCTTAACTCATTTCTGTAAATGTCATTGTGACCAGTGGTGTGTGCTGTTAGGAATCACAAACCTGACTATCATTTGGGTTTGGGGAGACATTTGTGACCCTTCCTTGCAGATCTGATGAGGACATTCCAAGCAGCCAGCTCACATACGTGTTTTCAGAAAAGCTCCTTCATTCAGGTGTCAAAGCTTCCATGCATGAGTCTGGCTTTCATGTCTGCCATGTTTCTGTGGGAGGTCTTTCTGTCCTTTAATTTGGTCTTAGTAATTTTTCCTCATTGACAGAATTGGTCTTCTTACAAAGGTGTTCTTTCTCACCTTTGTCCACTTCTGTTTCCTAATTCTAGTTTTGTTTTGTTTTTTTAATTATAAATGTAATCTGTAAATGTCAGCCTTAGGTTCAGAACCTTTGTGTCTTACAATTCAAGGTAATGAAGGTTGAGCCCATCAGGACTATCCTCACTCAGAACTACTGTAGTTGATTCAGAATGTGCTCTTTACACTGTGTTTCTAAATAAGATATAGAATTGTGTACTAAAAAAATATTTCCTTTCTTCTTTCCTTTTTGTTCATTTTTCTTTCTTTCTTTCTTTCCTTTTTCCTTTTTTTTTAAACAATTTCATAGCCATAGGCTTTTTTACAGGATGACACACTGAATATGTGCCTTCTCCCACAGAGTAGGTCTCAAACCCTATGAGAAGGTAGTTAGTTGCCCCTAAAAACAATCATGTCACTATTGTATTCAGATAATTTTTCTTCTCCAGTGACCTTATTGTTGTTTCCTGGATTCTACAGTGACTCCACTTTAAAGAAAAAAACATCTAAATATCTGAAGCTAGGATACATAGATGAGAGATAACATGGTAGTTTAATTTTTGGGCCTGGGTCACCATCCATTACTTGCTCTTTTTTTCAGAATACTTCATCATAGCAACAGGAATCAAACTAGGACTGGTATACTAGTCAAAGCCTAGTCTCCTTGTCTCCAAGTAATTTCAGAACTATCTATATTGACTGAAGACCTCCAGACTTTGTGTTGAAATCTCCATCCAATCTGATGACACACTAACTGCATAACTTTATCTTCTCTGCAAATAGTTGACAGTTGTCTACAGGCAGGTTAGCTAAGAATGATAATTTCTTCTACAGAATATAACTCCATTATATATGCCACTCAAGGGGCTTTCATAACTCTACTTCAGCCAATCAAAAAGTGGTCATGCCTATTCTATAATGTTTTGATACTGCCATGCCAAATTTTAAATTAATTTTGGATTTATAAAAGACTTTTCAATGTTTGTTTTATTGTTACTTGGGTGTATGCTTGTATGTCTGTATGTTGGTCTGTACAGGGAATGCAGGAGTCCATGGAGGCAGGAGGGCACTGGATTTCCTAAGCTGATGTGATATGAGGTTGTGTGCCCTCCTGGTGTGATCACTGGGTACTGAACTCGAGTCATCTGCAAGAGCAGGGAGTTCTCTCAATGGCTGAGCCATTTCCCCAGATCCCATTTTAGTAAGTCTTATCTTAAAAATTAAAAGTGTAATTGGCAGTTAAGAACACTTGCTGCTCTTGCAGAAGACTCAAGTTAAATTCCCAACACCCACATGGCAGCTCACAACTAACTGTTACTCCAATTGCAAGAGACATGATGCCTCCTTCTGACCTCCATGACTACCAGGTACATATGTAATACACACACACACACACACACACACACACACACACACACAAAATTTGTAATTAAAAAATCCTTTTTTAAAAATTGGAAGAGGAGGCATCCTTTGGAACTGTGCTGCAAGCTGCAAAAATATATGAAGTAGGAATTCAGCTGATTATGACAAGCTAATACGGGGAAGAAGCCAAGGGCCTTACAGAGGTCAAGGCTCAAGGAGTCTTGGTGGTATTGGCTTTTGATTATTAGATGTTTCCTACTATGAGTTTCTCGTGTGCTACTGTAGCTTTTCCATCATTATTTGGGCACCATTTCCCCTCTACTAAAGGAACATTTAGATAACTTTCTGAGCACTATCACAGCCAGGATCCCTAATTTCAGGCCTTTCTGTAATTATTGTCATTAGCAGCATCTGGACAGGACTATCCCCAATGGACAAAAGTATCTTATCAAAGATACCGCTATGCCCTCTAAGAACAGACTTAAGCATCCAGGCTATTTTTGAGAAGGCCTGGTGGATGTACTAATTAAGCTTAACCTTCTCATTTCCAAAGTCTTATCTCTAGTAGCTCTAGTTTTAGATCTACTTTTAACTATTATGTCAGAAGTAAAGGGTTCCAACTTACAGGTACATCTAGCTGTCACAGAAGTTGCCTAGCCAAGTTGCCTAGTGACTGAGCATACTCGCCAGAAATGGTGGGAGCAGAGGGAGCTTGGAGAGATAAGGGTCAAAGGGATAAAAAGGCAGTTTTGTTTTCAGAGAAGGACGAGATGGAGAAGAGAGAAGAGAATGGAAGAACTAGATTGCTAAGAACTGGAGAGGAATGAACTAGATGGGAAGAACTATATTGAAGGGCTAAAAGAGAGTACTAGAGGAACGAGATGGAAGATGAGGAAGAGCCAGATGGGGAAGAACAAGATGAGGGAGAACAATATGGGAAAGAAGGAGATGGGCGGAGAGCTGAGATGGGAAGGAACTAGATGGATGAGAACCTAGATGGGGCGGAACTAAGATAAGAGAATTAAGACAGAACTTAGAGGGGCAGCAGATAAACGTGGAGAAAAATCAGGCAAGAAAAGAGCTAGGCTTGAGAGCAAAACTGAAGCTGTGTAGACAGAATTTTATCCCAGAGGGATAAAGTCGATGGACAAAAGAGGTCGGTGAACTTAGATTCTTTTCCTAAAAATAAATCTTGCCATTCATAGCTCCTCTTCTGGGTCCCTGGAAAAAAATATTATTAAGGCTGGTCCTTAAATAATATTTGAGAGAACTGGGCTCCATAACTTTGCATTTTGTTTGGTTGTAGTTTTATGTAGTAGTCTCCATCTACTGCAAAGAGAAGTTTCCTTGATGAGGAATGGAGAATACAAGTACCTGTGGGCATAAGGATAAATGTTTATAGATTATATTAAGGAATTATGCTGGTATAATAAATTGGTTATTATAAATTCTCCTCATAAAACCATAATTTCGCTAGCACTGAGTAATTAGCTAACTTTCCAGTACAAGACATAGTATCCCTCTTGTTGAGTAGGTCTTAAGTCCAATTAGAAATTGGTTGGTTACTACAATGTGGATGAGCTACTATTACTCACAGA